TCTGCCTGGTGCCTCATCAGCAGTTCACTTGCATTTTCCTACTATTTTTCTATTTACCTTTGTATAACCTTTCTGAGCTGTGGTCACTAGATTACCGTGCTTACTGTGAACTGCAGCAGCCTGTGTGTTTGCAGCTCGAAGCAACACATTTCTAGTGAATTGGGATGTTAAATATAGGTATGGATTAGTTAAAAAAACTGTTATTAAGTTAAGTGCTATTTTTCACTGACAAATCAGTCAAAAACAAACTAGGAGTCTTGTGTATAGCAAACAAATGAGAGCATTTATTGCCCCTGTTGTATATTTATCCAGAATTTTGTGTGAGAACTTTGGAATATTGTCACTTGCCAAGATTGGACAAGTAAAAGAATAACAAAATGCGAGGTCCAGTCCATTCTACATTTGGACAAAGTGCATATGTTGAATAACTTATGAATAAGCCAAGGGCCTGTTTGTAAAGTTCAGAGGGGCAGGGCGCTTTGTGAGGGTCTATTACTGAATGACAGTGGCTTACGTGTATGGGGAGAGGGGTCCAAGCAGAACCTTCGACACGTCCTGTTGGCCAAGGGTCATCAAGAGCAGCGCCAGGCTTTGATTGGATGAATCCACGCAGCCACCCTAAAACAGACAAAGAGGAGGGGCCGTGTTTTTAAGCAACAAAAACAGCCCAGAAATACGTCATAAGAGGTGGAGATGTTTAAAAAGAACTCTGTAACCCCACAACGGGGGATTGATTATCTCAGGTCAACACTGATAGCCATCTACACTTGCAAAAACATAGTGAGAATCCAGGAGAGGTGACAGTAGGGCAGATGTTTTTCAGAAAATTTAGGGAGATATGTTAAACTTACACAATAAAAGAAAAAAAAGTGAATCCATTTTAATCCTGAGACAAATATGCCCAAAGCTACAAGTACAAAACATTTTGAACCACGTTTGTTTACAGCTTTGTTGCGTTTAATGGCGGAGGAGGCGTCCAGGACAAGATGCATGGCATTTCTCATTTTGCGTTCTACAAATTCAAATCCTGTTAATTGTCTTCCTACGACATGTTTCTCTCTTCTTTCCCCAAATAATCCTGCGTTTTCCTGTCCCGTCTGACCTCCTAGCCCTTCTCCTTTTGCTCCCCTTTTTCCTTGGACAATTAGAGGACAGAGGATCCACTCTGTATCCAAGTGATCACATGCCATCGTGATTACTTGACAACAGCTATGTGCTGTTCACCCAGCTGCATGAAGAGGCCTATGCAAGGCTGGACGCACGCAAGAGCATTTTATAAAACCAAATGACCTCCAAAATGGCTTTTGTGATTTTGTAGGTTTATGGTTAAAACTTTTACCACTTAGTGTCTTGCATTGACCCGAGGTACAGTGGCCACAGCTTAACTGCAGCTACACAGGGTCAGTTTCTTGTTCGGTGCGTCCATCCTAACCAAGTATGCGTGTGGCCCAGTCATGCAGTGTTATGGCATCACGACAGCTTGTCAGCAGGAATATGATTCAATTACATAATCATATCACTGAAACCATGGCCAAACTATGGTGACATTGTCTATATTGTTGATGAGGAAGAGATTTTGCTAAACGCATTCCCTCTACAACTGGATGAGATTCATCAAACTTGGTATGCCGTTACAATGAACTAAAAAAATACTTAATCAGTTGTGACATTATGAAGAACTACACCTCAGTCAACAAGCCTTGAGAGTAGATATATGATGGACTGAACAGTTTTCCATATTCTAATACAGGTTTTACCATGAAATGCATCTTAATAACTTTAAGACAAAATGTTTTTCTATGTATCCTTCCTACTGTCTGGATACATGAGTGAATTTTTCACATTAAACGCCCCATTTAACTAATCACGCTCAATTTGCCTCCAGAAAAAAGTCAGTATTCAGTATTCCTGTCAAATAAAGTTGACTATTGAAATAATATTGCGCCAGAGCACCATACCTTTTTGCGCTGCCGTTCCGGGCTACAAAAGTTTAAACAACCCTTTTTTCCCGAACAGTTTCTGGTTTTCACACTTTTTGTTTGGCCTATCCTTTTCAACAAGCAGCTTCCTTTGCAAGAAATGTGACGCAGTAACACAATTTCTGACAGCTAGTTTTAGGCCCTGCCTTTCAGAGAAAACACAAGACAGTTAAGATCCCCCGAGAGGCCAGAAGCCACAAACCGGCCACAAGGCCTTATGGAAAAGTCCCTTGAATCCTTCGAGTGAATGGCAACCCCCTTTCCCAACAAACTAATTGGGGGAAAAAAAAAAAAAAAAAAGGCACACTCAAGCGACTTTTAAAATATAAAATCAAGGTACAACTTCCAAGCATTTAAAGACTTACTTGACCTAAACATGTGAAACTGTATAACTAACAAGGTGAAATAAAAAAAAAAGGGATAAATCCACATGTAAGTTTAACAGTGAAGAAAAGCAATGGGTCAAGGCTCAAAGCTCAAAGCTTCTTTTCTGAGGACTGATTTCAACCTAATTTGACACCTTGCTTAACTACAATAAAAAAATTAAAAAAAACCTATGGTGTTAAAACTTAAGTGAGAACAGTCAACAGTGGATTAAAAAATGGTAACTACAATGAATTTATTTGTAGCTGAACATAATCACAAAAATAGTGGACACGGGTATGGAAACATTCTTGACACGTCAAAACTGTCCTTAAAGTCAAAAAAATAAAGATCATTTAACCAACCAAAAAGTCAACAAAATTTGAAGAGTGCACCACTTACATCAGCTCATGTCCAGTGTTGATGTTGCTTCCAAAAACAAAATGTCCATCAAGTAGCTTTGGTTTACTACAAGAAGACTGTACTGATTAACCATAAAACAAACAGACGCACACATACAACGGTGCCCATGCCCTTTAATGCGAATCCAGCAAATTTCTTTTCGCAGCTTTCAAAAATTAACTATCCCAGCACGAGTCACACATCCATTTTACTCTGGTGTTATCCTTCCTCTTGTCCTCCTCTCTGCTGTAGCAATTACCCTTTCTTCCTGCTACAGTTAAAATCAGCAGTTATTCAAATGCTGTTCAATTTCCGAGCTGGTGAATCAACCTGTTTTACCAGCTCCTGTGGCTTTAAAGAAAAATTAAGAAAAAGTTTAAAAACTGAAGGATTTATAATCCACCATCCTCTGAGGCTGCTGAAGAGAAATGTTAGCTAGCCACTCTGTTGCTCGGAGTAAAGAGGACGCATGCAACATTATTCCTGTTTCAGAGTTAATCAGCACTACCCTGACCAGCTAACTGGACTCACATGGCTCCTATGAGAGACAGAGCCATGTGGAGGCAAACTGAAGTCACAGAATCCCTGGATCTAATTGTGCATATTCTGATGAAGTGGGCTCTTTTTCCCGCATGACTATGGGAAATTATTTCTGCTTGTGTAAATCTTTAGTAGCAGCCAAGTTACTTTGTCTTACAGCTACTACTGTAAAAGTCACACAAACTACACAGGTAGCTTGATATGGATACATGAAATGTGACTTTATGAGAGTTTTTTTTTGTCTCAAACACAACCATAAAGCTCCACTCAAGAATTCCTCATTTATCGAGCCTGTTTGAATGAACACTGTTCAGCTGACACATCACCTAAACGACTGAAACACTGGTGTGAGTGAACTAACTGAGCTTTGACCTGTGCACTACAGAGTCTCAAAATGTTTAACATTACATTAATAAATAAGACATTACATTATAATCACCCGAATAAAATGTTGAACATACCAATAAACTGTGAAACAATATAAGAAACAATTAAAATTCAACTCATTATGATGAGTTATTTCATTATTCTTATTTTCATAACAGTTTTTACTGATTGTTCTTTGAATAATGTAACTTTTTATTTCACTGGCCAACTGCCAGCAAAAACATCTTAAAAAACATGACCTAAAAGTTCCCTCTTGAAAAGGGGCATTTTGAAATATGATGAAATAAAATGAACTAAGACTTCATATGAAAATAATGTAAGAATTACAAAATAACATTTCATAATGGTTAAGTCATACATCATTTTTTTCAAAATGTATTTCATAATGTCTTATTTATGTATTTAATATTGAACAGTTTAGATTTCCTTTAGCCATTAAATTACTGA